AGTGAATAGCTCCAAAATACCCACAAGACTTTACTGACATGGGACCAGATTAGAGTCTGTATCTGTTCAATTTGCAGAGGTAATTATTTTATTTTGCAATGGAGTAGAAAAACTAAGAAACACAACAGTCCTCTACTTGGCTTTGTCATCTCAAAGTGGGAAGCACCTTTAATAATGTTAATCTCTTTTACTTCCCTAATTAATTCAGGTATTCATTTAACAAAGATTTCTGAGAACCAACTGTGAGCCAGGTGTAGGGCTAGCCTCTGGGGTTAAAATGTTGGACAAGTAAGCAGTATCCCAGCCCTCACAAGCTGCTCTATTTTTGGAGTGCAGCTTTGCCTTAGGTTACTAACCTTTGACGTCTCACGACTTAGGGTTGACCATATTTCTTGCATCCTAGAAACTCATCTTGCACTAGCATGTTGACTTTTAGTAAAAATGCAAGAGATATCTTGGGAATGCAAAGGATATAATGGACCATATTTGATTCAATGAGTAGTTTAATGCGACAATGGTTGAGACCCATTCTTAAAAAGATAAGCTGGTTAGGACAGAAGAAAAATTTGAAGGATTTAGAAATTTGTTTTTGTTGTCTTTTTACTTCCCATTTTATGCTTGTGATGGTTACTTTTATGTGTCAACTTGGCTAGGCTATGGTGCTCAGTTGTTTGGCCAAACACCAGTCTAGATGTTGCTGTGCGGACAATTTTTAGATGTGATTCACATTTAGTCAGTAGACCTTGAGTAAAATAGATTACTCTTCTTAATGTGGATAGACCTTATCCAGTCAGTCAAAGGCCTTCAGTACAAACACTGAAGTTTACCAAAGAACCAAATTTCTACAAGACTGCAATATAGAAACACTGCCCGAGTTTCCTGCCTGCTGCCCTGCTGGCATATTTTGAACTCAAGATGCAACATCATCTCTTAACTGAATTGCCAGCCTACTCGCCTGTTCTACAGAGTTTGACTTGTCAGCCCCTATAGTTGCATGAGGCAATTCCTTACAATCTCTCTTTGTCTCTGTCTCTTTGTCTCTGTCTCTCTCTCCTATTGGTTCTGTTTCTTTGTGGAATCTGACTAATACAATGGCCCTCTCTAGAGCAAATTTATAAAGACAAGTAGAATGCTTTGGGGAATATTACATGATAATGTCTTCTTCCCTCCCAATAGAGAAATTTGAAAGTTGATTGGACTTTGGAACCCATAGCGTCAAATGCCAGTGAGTCTGGAAACTAAGATCTGACTTTGCAGATGCTGTCCGTGGGCATCTTTCTCACATGGTTGCTGTTAGAGATCTGCTTGTTCACTCTCAGCCTCAGTGGCTATGTTTGGTCTTCTGTCGTAGAATTTTTAACTCCCACGGAAGAAGTGCCTAGACCCCTGACAAGGCAGACTTAGCCCGTCTGGTTCTGATAATTTCGTCTTTAAAAAAAAAGTCAGAGGTAAACCTACCCTGGTTTTCTAAGTGTATGTCCTCTCTGTGTCACTGCTGACCTTTCCCATATGGCCACTAGCTCTACTCTCAAGCACATTTGCCCCTACTGTTTTGTTGGATGTCTTCATCTGCTTGGGCTGCTATCACAAAATACCATAGACTGGGTGGCTGAGACAACAGACATTTTTTTTCCTCAGTTTTGAAGGCCGGAAGTCCAAGATCAGGGTGCCAGTATAGTTGGGATCTGGTGAGAGCTCTCTTCCTGGCTTGCAGATGGCTACCTTTTCCCTTTGTCCTCATATGGCCTTCCTTGGTGTGTGTGCATGGAGAGAGCGTGTGCTCTTTTTCTAAGGGACCAGTCCCATCGTGGGGCCCCACCCTCATGACCTCATCCTAACCTAATTACCCCCCCAAAGATCCTACCTCCAAATACCATTGTTTTGGGGGTTAAGGCTTCAACATATGAATTTTGGGGGGTTCAGTCTATAACTATGGATATAAACAAGAGATGAGCTTTAGACAGGAAATTTAATTTTTTGAAAATAAACATACACATGCTTGGTTATATAAAGAAAGAAGTAAAACTTGGCTGATATTTTTATATGTGGCTTCTTTGGAGAAAATGCTGCTTACTTCCAAAAAAGTATCTAATCTCAGACAAGTCAAACCTTCCTGTGGGTTGAACTCCTGCCAGGCACTATTGCGTATGATGAAGACAGCACAAAGAAGAAGCATGACACTTTGGTCCTGCCTGATTTCTCTGTACTTTTTTCTAGAGGCCAAGCATATGGAGTCTGCATATTAGCAAAATATCAGTAATATTTATGAATTACTGCTGGATACTGAGTACTGTGCTTGTTGGTCATAGGGGTGACAGTATTGTGGGTGGGAATCAAAATAGATTCATTGACCTTGAGCAGGTTTTACAGTCTGGTTGGGAAAAGCATTTCTTGCCCTCGCCCTCTCCCATGTACCTGTTTATGGCCTGTTTTGCTGGTTTTATACAGAATCCTTAGGTCCCTCATTTAATGTGCAGAATGGAGGTTCTGACAGCTAAAAACAAATTGTTTGGATGTGTGCATTCTTCAAAGAGAGGAAAGTAAGAATAGTATTAGTGTTTTGGCCTCCTAATATAGTCCACTGCATATAACATGGACAGCATATATACTTTTCCTTAGAAAACTGGTTGAAAGAATTAGGTTTATGACTTCCATCTCTTCTTTATCATCAGACGCTGAAACAAACCAATGCCTATTCATCAGGAAAAGAAAAATGTACAATTTCTTTAGCAGCAATGGAACTGTGGTTTAAAAATATCCAGTGCCCTCTGCAAAAGCCTTGGCTGAGCTGTGAGAGCAGCCACTTGCCTGTCAGATGTCTAATTATTTCTCCTCCTCCTCAGCCATGCCAGTAGCAGGGAACTACTGAGACCATATTGTTGCCCATATGTTGGGAAGCTACTAAATTAAAGCCCTATGTAACATGCTGACAAGTCTACTGCAGGAGCTGAAGGTTCGTTGACTAAATTTCTCTAACCTATCATTCCACTGTTAGTATTTTAAGTTTTCGCTCTCTGTGGTACAGGCTTTTTCAAGGGCTGAGATGTTGTTATTACACACCAGTACCATCAGAAAAGAAAGCGAATATCTGGGTTAGACCAGATTTTAGCAGTTGATGAATTAGACCTAAATCCCTAATGTTAGGTCACAAAAACCTGACATTCGGCCTGTCCTCTCAAGTGTGCAGGATGTTCAGAGAAGTTAGGTCAGAGATGAATATTGTTCTGTCGATTTGCAGACCTATAGACATAATTTTCTGAAGTTCACTGTTCCATGTTCATGGCAGGAAAGGATCTCTTCTTGCCTCTCCCATTTCTTTTGCTTTTACTCTTGTACTTCTATTAGCATGGCTGGCTTAATTTAATTTTCATTGCATTTTATATTTTTTCAGTTAACTTTAAAAGAAGAGAACTAATCCCTAATCTATCCTAATTTTCCCATATCCATCAGTAACTGCTATGTTACTTTCCTTTTTCTTCTATCCTCCTAAGAGGAATGAATAGTTTTCCCTTTGAGGAAGAACAAAAAAAATTTTTTTAATGACAGGTTAGGGGCATCTGGTGGCCTAGTTGGTTAAACATCTGCCTTCGGCTTAGGTCATGATCCCAGGGTCCTGGGATTGAATGCTGCATCGGGCTCCTTGCTCAGTGGGGAGCCTGCTTCTCCCTCTGCTTGCTGCTCCCCCTACTCATGCTCTCTCTCTCTCTCTCTCCCCCAAATAAATAAATAAAATCTTTAAAAAAATAAAATGACAGGTAATATAGTATGTTATCTTATTTAACAATAGCAACAGTATATGAAGGCATCGTAGTTTGAATTTGGGGAAACTGAGGCTAAGAGAGGATAAGTAGCTTGCAAAAGGTCATGTGGATCCAATAATGGCAGAATTATGGTCTGTTTGACTCTAGAAGCCTGTGCTTTTTCTCTTCAAGTCTGCTTATTGGTTTGAATCAGACAACTGAAGATTTCTCAGATTTTGTTCCACAGGACACTGATATCCTCCTAAATGTCAGTAGATATCCTCTGCAAAGGGCTCTGTTGTCAAATGTGTTTGGTATATTAGGGTTCTCCAGAGAAATAGAACCAACAGGAGATATATATATATATATATATATATATACACACACACACACATATATTTTTATGTATATGTATATATAATATGTAGTATGTTTATGTATATGTATATATACATATATACATATGTATAATATGTAGTATGTTTATGTATATGTATGTGTACATATACATAAAAATTTGTATTTATTATAGGAATTGGCTCCCTTGATTATGGAGGCTGAGAAATCCCATAATCTGCTGTCTGCAAACTGGAGAACCAGGAAAGCAGGTGGTGTGATTCAGTCTGATATGGGAAGAGAATGGGAAGACCTGGGGAACTAGGATGAGGGTAGAGGGAACTGATAGTGTGACTATCAGTTGGAGTCTGAAGGCCAGAGAACCAGGAGGGCTGATGGTCGGGGGTAGAAGAAGAGAAAGAAGATAGAAAATAGATGTCCCAGCTCAAACAGAGAGAAAATTCACCCTTCCTCTATTTTTTTGTTTTATTTGGGCCTTCAGTAGACTTGATGATGCCCACACACACTGGGATGGGCAATTTGCTTTACTGAGTTCACCAATTCAAATGCTGATCTCTTCTGCAGGTACCCTCAAGACACACCTAGAAACAATTTTTTTTTTATCAGCTTTCTAGACATCCTTTAGCCCAGTCAAGTTGACACATAAAATTAACCATCACACTTGGGAAATGCTGTATTAAATCAAGTTGAACAAGTTTTTTCACTGCAAGACTCTTTGGAGCTTTTATGCTCATTGAGATGTAAATTTTCAAGAAAGTGGTACAGCATTTGAATTTACCTGAATCTGGTTGACTACCATGTTTTTTTCTTTTTCTGTAGAACACGTGGGAACACAATTTGGGTAATGTTGGCATAATCTTCTTCCCATTCTCTTCCCATATAAAAACTAATGCCTGTGATCTTGCTGGCGACCAGCGTTGGGCTGTGACGCTGCGTCCCGGGGTCAGAATGTCATACCCAGGCTATCCCCCAACAGGCTACCCACCTTTCCCTGGATATCCTCCTGCAGGTCAGGAGTCATCTTTTCCCCCTCCTGGTCAGTATGCTTATCCTAGTGGCTTTCCTCCAGTGGGAGGAGGTGCCTACCCACCAGCCCCAAGTAGCAGCTACCCAGGGGCTGGAGGCTACCCTGCCCCTGGAGGTTATCCAGCCCCTGGAGGCTATCCTGGTGCCCCACCACCAGGGGGAGCTCCAGCCTATCCAGGAGTTCCTCCAGGTCAAGGGTTTGGAGCCCCACCAGGTGGAGCAGGCTTTTCTGGCTATCCACAGCCACCGTCACAGTCTTATGGTGGTGGCCCAGCACAGGTCCCACTGCCTGGTGGCTTTCCTGGAGGACAGATACCTTCTCAGTATCCTGGAGGACAAGTTCCTTTCCCAAGTCAGCCTGCTGCAATGACTCAGGGAGCTCAAGGAACAGTCCGGCCAGCTGCGAACTTCGATGCCATGAGAGATGCAGAAATTCTTCGGAAAGCAATGAAGGGTTTTGGCACAGACGAGCAGGCAATTGTGGATGTTGTGGCCAACCATTCCAGTGATCAGAGGCAAAAAATTAAAGCAGCTTTTAAGACCATGTATGGCAAGGATTTAATCAAAGACCTTAAATCAGAGTTAAGTGGAAATATGGAAGAACTGATCCTTGCCCTGTTCATGCCACCTACATATTATGATGCCTGGAGTTTACGGAATGCAATGAAGGGAGCAGGAACTCAGGAACGTGTATTGATTGAAATTTTGTGCACAAGAACAAATCAGGAAATCCGAGAAATTGTCAGATGTTATCAATCAGAATTTGGACGAGACCTTGAAAAGGACATTAGGTCAGATACATCAGGGCATTTTGAACGTTTACTTGTATCCATATGCCAGGGAAATCGTGATGAGAACCAGAATGTTAACCACCAGTTGGCTCAGGAAGATGCTCAACGTCTCTATCAAGCCGGTGAGGGGAGACTAGGGACAGATGAATCTTGCTTTAACAGGATTCTTGCCACAAGAAGCTTTCCTCAGCTGAAAGCTACCGTGGAGGCTTATTCCAGGGTGGCTAATCGAGACTTGCTAAGTAGTGTTGCCCGTGAATTTTCTGGAAATGTTGAAAGTGTTTTAAAGACCATCTTGCAGTGTGCCCTGAACCGCCCTGCCTTCTTTGCTGAGAGGCTCTACTATTCTATGAAAGGTGCCGGCACAGATGACTCCACCCTGGTCAGGATTGTGGTCACTCGTAGTGAGATTGATCTTGTACAAATAAAACAGACGTTCAGTCAGATGTATCAGAAGACCCTGGGCACAATGATCGCAAGTGACACAAGTGGAGATTACCGAAAGCTTCTTCTGGCCATCGTGGGCCAGTAGGAGGGATTTTTTAAATAAAGCATATCCTTCAGTAAACAAACAAACAAACAAACAAACAAAAAAAAAACAACTAATGCCTGTGCTGGTGGCTTAGTTTGGTTCTATGTAATGGCATTTGAAGGGCTATTTATTAAGCAATGCCTATAGCGTATGAGTCTTTGCTCTAATTGCCAGAGGGGAAGGTACCGTGAGGCAGTGAAATTATAAAATGTAGATAAAGCCGTGGCTTGAAGGAAGGAGCTAATGATCTAGTGTGTCCTGTCCTATACTTAGGACATGGCATATTACGATTGGTAAAGAGTTAACCTAACAATGCTAGTATGGGTGGCTTCCTGCATAGGACTATAGTTTGTACCCTGATATATTGTCTTTCACTTCCCTTCCTTTTGTATTATTTGCCTGTGAGTAGAGCTTAAAGAGTTGTGGGTTGAGGTTGTGACTTCCAAGCTGAAGGCTTTTGACAGGAAGCCCTTTCCCAATGTGGCAGATCAGAAAAATAAATCTACTGTTGTATCTGACTTTCATGTGGAAGAACTGTTTCCATGTTGAAAAACTAAAACTCATGTTATTCATTGGTTGTGATATTGAGATAATCCTGAGATACTGAGAATAAAGGCAAATGACATGTTTTTCTGGTGACAGGTGAAGTTATAATCATCTGCAACATAGGAGAAAGTCACTATTTCAATTAGGCTGAAAAATCTGTACAGCTCTTTACAGAGAGAGTCACCAAGTAAAAATTTTAGCTAAAACAGAGTATTTTTTATGTATGTGCCTTTACAGTTAAAATATTATATATAAAAAATTTCTGATTACTCCGAAATCTGATTACTGTAAAGCTTGAGAACAAGGCGTACATACTTGCTTGGGGCCAAGAGAGCTACTGTTTATTCAAGAGAGCTACAAGTTTATTCCTTGATTTAAAGTCACCTAGATTGGTCGGTTTGCTGCAAGCCTAAAATGGCTTTCCACTGACATTTTTCTAAAAAACAAAATCCCAAACACAAGCCTGATTCACTGTAAAGGAGGAAGCCTCTGGGATGAAAAGAAAAATCCTTGCCTGCTTGACTTTTCTTTAGAATCTCAAGGAATAGGATTGGGTCACTTTAATCAAAATTTGTTTAGGGCCCAGAAAATTTCAATTCATGCTATTGGTTTATTAATAAATATTTTATTAGATTGCAAAGAAAGAAATATTTGGATCACACATAGAGCAGAGATAATTTCCTTTATGGCTCACATTTAGGATCCCATCACTCTAATTTCAATATTTTTTATTGACATTACAGAACAGAAAGCTCTCTTGTGTGTTATTTTAAACAGCTGATCTCGACTCTCTGTGTATACAGACAGTTAATGAAGCAATTAAAGTCAATTTTTCAATAACACCCAGAGATCCTTAGACTCAGTCACTGAGCAACATTTATTTAACACCCTTGGTGAGCACAGAATCTTAGATGTTGTCAGGGATAAAAAAATAGATGTGATTCTTGCCTTCAAGGATTTTTCAGTTGGGTAGCTATGAAAAACACATGCACATGAAAACCAATGAGACTCTTAAAATAATTATACAACTTTAAAGAAACCTAACAAGTTTATGCATTTGTGTTGATCTTACTCTTAGTGTGTTAGTGTGGAAGAATTTACAAATAACAAACTTTAATTATTCTAGAGTTTAGACAAAGCAATTCCCTCCTTCCTCAGCTATCCTTACAAAGTTTTGGGGAATAGAGACTTTTTGGGGCACACATTGATGGAATAATTTTTGCTTAATAGAACAACTCTTCCTGTGTAAATCACCTTCAAAAACAAATAGGTGCGGATGCCTGGGTGGCTCAGTCATTTAAGCGTCTGCCTTCAGCTCAGGTCATGATCCCAGGGTGCTGGGATTGAGTCCTGCATCGGGCTCCTTGCTCATCAGAGAGTATACTTCTCCCTTTGCCTGCTCCCCCTGCTTGTGTGCACGCTCTCACTCTGGCAAATAAATAAATACAATCTTAAAAGTAAACCCCAAAACCCCAAATAGGTGGCCATGGTCTATACAATATAACCCAAGGAGGAATGGGCACCTAATCCAAGGTGAGTCCATGTATGGTCTGAGCAGTGGTCCTTGAGTTGGTCAAGCTCAAAGTTCTGCCACCAAAGATGATGGTCATCAACTTAGACTAGGAGATACTTTCTATGAGGAGTTTGAATGTGAGACAGAGAGAAAGTTAAAATGCTAGTGGAAAAGTAGAGGTTAAAAATCGATGCAGGGTCCATATTAAACTTGTTTCACCGAAATCTTCAAAGGCAGCTAAGAGTAATAGTTCGGATTCCCTAATTATGAACTTCTCCAAATCTCACTCCATTAAATGAACTGGATATAGATTTTATGTCTTTACTTGGTGTTTTTTTCTTATTCAATCTAAAAAAAATAGGCATATAAGATAGTACAACTCCACATTAATGCTCAGTCTCCTCTTCTCTACAAATCTATGTTTTTGCTTCAAAGCTCAAAGAGGCTCCAAATTCTAAGGAAGATTTGGAAATTTGTGTCTAGGCCTGTACAGGACTTTAGAGCTCACTTCTCCAAACCAGAAATCAAACTTCTCAAGCCCAGCTGCTTGGACAGTGCTCCTCCCGCTAAACAGCGGGTGAGTTCCCGGTGCTCACTATGCTCTTTGAGCTCTCCTTTGTGCTGTCTTCTCTTCTGTGCACTTTGATGCCCACCTCCCATTTATGTTCTCCCCTGGCCCTTGAAGCTTTGTATTTGGCAACATTTCCTTGGCCATATTTCTGGCTCACCAAGACCCTGTTTTTTGGCTATTTTGCCTCATATTGTGAAAGAGTTGCCCCAGGTCAGCTTGTCCTAGGAACCTGGCTCTGCCCACACGGATGACAGCACTTCTACTAGACTTATTTCAGCTGTAGGACACAGAAATTTTCCCTGGAAGAGCAGAGTAATGAAGATGAGTAGCTGAAAAATGAGGTAAATGGGGAAGCTATTTATTTGTTCATTTTTTACTCCATTCTGCCACTTAGTAACTGTGTGACCTAGAATAAATTACTTAACCTCTCTGGCCTCAATTTAAAAAAATTATAGGTTGGTGATGATTTACTAGTATGACTGTGATTAGGATTAAATGAGGTAGTATGCACAAAATCATTTGTATACTTAAAGTGGTATGTGTAAGATAGATAATACTACTAAACATTTCAAATAAAGATTAGACTTCAGAAGAGGTAAGAGAAGAGTAAGAGAAGTTAATAAATGTGATCTTTAGGGTAATGCAGTGAAACACATTAAAGTAACCAGTTGTGGGAGTGCTAGAGAATAAAACTTGACTTCCAGATGTATGAGGAAGTAGTGGTCTGGGTGAGAAGAGAGGTGCTGGAAGAGAATATGACTAGGGATATGCATTGCAATTCATTCTTAAAAGATCAGGTGGGAAGTGTGGAGAAACTACTGAGTTTCTGTAATGAATCTTATAAAAAACTATTTTTCTAAACCAAGGGTCAGTGACAAATAGGGACTTCTGTATGGGCAAAACTTAGCTTTAAGGAGGAGTGTTAGGAGAGAAAGCTGCTTATATGTATGTCTGAGAAAGGGACAAAAAAAAAAAAAGAGAGTGGAGGCAGAGCAAAGATAGCATTCTAGAAATGGGAAATTGGGTTTCTCAGTACAAACTATCTACCAGAAGGACCAGCCTGATGGCCCTCTATTGCAGAGGTGATTTCAAGAAGATGGATGGTGTGTAGCACAAGTAACCTGTATAATTCAATATGTATATAGTGTCCGTGTACGAGAAACTCTACTAGATACTGTGGGACATATGAAGGTAAAAGAACTATGATTCTTACCTTCTAGAAGTATACTGTTACTGTAGAGATAAAACATGAATACAAATATTAAATATTATGTGATCATTGCTATAAAATGATAATAAGAGATATAGCCAATGTTAGAAGAGGGACAGCATTCTGCCTGGGTAACTAGAGAAAGAAGTGGCAGTTTATTTATTTATTTAAAATTTTTTTTTAAGATTTTATTTAATTTTTTGACAGAGAGAGAGACAGTGAGAGAGGGAACACAAGCAGGGGGAGTGGGAGAGGGAGAAGCAGGCTTCCCGCCGAGCAGGGAGCCCGATGCAGGGCTCGATTCCAGGACCCTGGGATCATGACCCGAGCCAAAGGCAGACGCTTAATGACTGAGCCACCCAGGCACCCCTATTTATATATTTTTAAAGATTTTATTTATTTATTTGATATAGAGTGAGAGAGAGAGAGTATAAGCAGGGGGTGGGCGGGCAGAGGGAGAGGGAGAAGCAGGCTCCCCACTGAGCCCAATGCAGGGCTCAAACTCTATCCCAGGACCCTGGGTTCATGAACCTAGCTGAAGGCAGACACTTAACCAACTGAGCCACCAGGTGCCCCTGAGCTGGACTTTTAAACATTTTGACAGGCAGATGTAATAGAGGAAGCATTCCTGGCAACAAAATGACACAGGAAAATTATATTATTTGATGTAATGCTAGTTTAAAATCAGATAGCCCCTGAATTATCAGTAGTATAACAAAATAGAGATTTATTTCTCAATCACTTAGTGTAGGGAGGGCATTCAATGAGCAGCCTTTCCAGTGATTCAGGGATGTGGGCTCTGCTTTTGCATGGTTTCACTAGGGCCTCAGAATCTCTCCTTCCAGCCAGTGTATGAGGAGCAATAGAGATTGTGGAGGATTGAATGGGAGACTTTTGTGGTCTAGGCCTGGAAGTGACAAACACCACTTCTACTCATATTCCACTTGTCTTTGTCTTTTGAAAATTTGATTATAATGTGCTGTAGTGTAAGCCTCTTTGAGTTCATCTTACTTGGAGTTTGTTAAATTTCTTGAATATTTATATTCATGTCTTTCATCAGATTTGGGAAGATTTCAGGCATTACTTCTCAAATATTTCCTCTGCTTTCTCTTTCCCTCTTCTCCCACTGAGCCTCCCACAATGCATATGTTTCTCTACTTGATTGTGTCCCATGGGTCCTTTTAGTTTTGTTC